AAGCTAATGGTGACAAGAACAAGGGAAGGGAGCAATGAATGAGAGACTGCTATTTGTTTCTTGAAGTTAGGAAGTGGGGAAAACAGTAAATGGATGAGAGAACGCCAGAGGAAGTGAGGAGTGAGCATGCGCTTAGGGAGGGCTGTGTGCCCGGATGTTCAGCAGCGCCTGCATGTGCCCTTGGCGGAAGACTGAGAAACTTACTTTCCGTGATGGTTGATGATGAGGTGATACTAATAGTAAAACTGGAAAGTCCAGGAGAACAAGATAAAAACAAAAAACAGCTGAGAACTGTCGATGTCCCCAGCAAGACTGAAAGAAATGACCTGGCCTAGAAAAGTTGAAAGCGGGGCTTTTGAGGAGCTGGGAATTAGGAGTGGGGAGGAGGAGGAAAAAAATTTTTTTAAGCCAACTTCATCTGACTCCTTAACCTTTGTCCAAATATAACTTGGGTTAAAAATATGAACAGAAACTTAGAATGCATGGCAGTAGGAGGGCTTTGTAAGACGTGTCAGCAAATTTCTCTTCATGTGAACAGTTTCTAGGGATGGTTTTGAGGAGTTTAGGGTCCTGAGCTGTTTTCTAAAGGATGCCCACGGGAGGGTGCCACTGAGAGCTCCTTGTTGCCTCTAAGGCCACATGGAAAGGTTTTGGGCAGAGGAATTTCCCAGTGTCACCCACCCAGAGCAGATGACTCTTTACTGTCGACTCATACACAGCCTTCTGCCGAGAGCACCCAGCCAGGTCAGGTTCTGCCCCTTTGCCGACCTCATCTGCTGCCCTGTTTGGGCTGACACAAGGGCACAGCTGTGACTGCAGGTCCTTAGGGGAGCCACTCCAGGACCCGTGCCTCAGTTTCCTTGTATAGTGGGCTCATTGTAGCACTCAGTCACTTTGATCATGGGAATATGTATTGGTATAGAATAGTGCCTGGCGGTAAATCTGTCAGCTACTTGCGCTAAGGTTCCAAAGGGCATCAATCTCCTTAGCTTTTTATTTTGGAAAAAAAAATTTTTGTTTGTTTGTTTCTTTTTGGAGACAGGGTCACAGTATGTAATTTAGGCTGCCCTAGAACTTCCTGTGTAGCCCAGGGCTGCCTTTGAGTTTACAGCAATCCTCCTGTCGTAGCCTCCCAAGTTCTGGAATTATAGGTATGTGCCACCACAGTTGGCTAAAAAAAAATTCTTTTTTCTTTGAGACAGGGTCTTGGATATATAGCCCAGGTTGGCCTCAATTTGAGGCGGTTCTCCTGCCTCAATCTCCAAGGACTGGGCTTACAGACGTGCCACCACACCCATCCTTTAATCCTACAGAAAAGTCATGAGACTAATATAAAAAATTCTCTTATAAAACCCTTTTATCTGTTAAGGTTGTGCCACATTTGCCTTTTCCTTATGCATATCATTGTGGATATATTGTCAATTTCAGGAACATTGATATTTATATAATAATAGCATATAGTGTAGTGTCCATTATTAAATTGCGCCTGTTGTTTCAATGCTGTCTTAAAAGCCCAACCAGAATTTAACCTAATCCTTTTAGTCATCTAAACCTAATCCTTAGACATCTACTGAGTCTCTGGAGCAATCCTTTTGCCCTTTCTTTGTCTTTCCTAACTTTGATGCTTTTGTTTTCTCTTTGAGATAGGGTTTCATTGTGTTGCCCAGGCCAACCTTGAACTCATGGGCTCAAGTAACCTGGCGCTCAGCCTCACAAGTGCTGGGACAGCTGGTGTGTGTCACCACAGGCGACTGACTTGGACATTTTTGAAGTTATAAAGCCACTTGTTCTGTATAATGCCCTGGATTTTGGCTTTCTGATTTTCTTGGTGATTACATTCATACTGTGCAGCAGGGGTGATGTTAACTGCCTTCCCCTGGGGGAGGTGAGGTTCTCCCTGTTTAACTAATAAGTAGTCTGTGAGGGGAGTCTTTGACACTGCATGTGAAACCTATTCCCCAGCATATTTTTAACCAATAGTGTGTGTGTTTTATCAAGTGATGACTTGACCACACAACCAAAGTTCAGCCACAGGTCAGAATCTTGATTTAGATAAACACTAGAGTTTGTTTTGGGGCTGCCAGTGGGAAACAGCATTGGGCAATATATTGATTTTTATCAACAGTTTTATTCTTGGAACATAAATGCTCTTCCTGGGTTTAAAGTCCATGGTACGGCTGGATTCATTTATTCATTTGTCCAATAAATATTTGTTGAATGCTTACCAAATGCCAGGTAAAACTGTTCAGGTACTAGAGAAACAAACCACATCACTTCCTCCTGGAAGTTAGCCTTCTCTGGGGGAGCCAGCCAGTAAGTGTGTGCTGCCAGGTGGCACTGGGGAAAGACACAGCAGGGTGATGATGGGGACAGAGGGCTGCTTTAGCCAGGGCTTTCTGAGCCTGAGCAGCCCTGAGACCCAAGTGTGGCAGGAGAGTGACAAGCATTTTCCTAGCAGAGGGTTCACCTGGCAGCCCAAGCTGGGTGTGGGGTGTGTGCCCAATGCCTGGTGGTAGGACAGTGGGGGTTGGTGTGGCTGAAACAGGCCTCAGGCAGGCAGCATAGAGGAGAGGGGGTGAATGAAGGTTTGGGTCCTTGTAGACTGTGGAGGGGAGTCCCCAGTACTAATGAGAGTATGCAGGGGTGTAAGAGAAGCTGGGCTGCTGAGGAGTGAGGGACTCTGGGCAGGTGCCACCTTTGGGGACCAGCTGAGCACCAGCTGGGCCATCAAGCCTCTGGCTTGTCTCACTACCTGGGGTGAGGGCAGGAGAGGGCGGGTTTGGTGAGATGCCTGTTTTCCCGCAGCCTGGGTGGCTGGGCAGGTCCTCCACAAGCTTGAGCAGACTGGGGCTTGTTTACTGGCCCCTGGGACAACCAGAGAGCCCCAGGCTGTGAGCCCGGGGTGCAGGTTCTCCAGCATCAACTACACCTTTGTTCTGGGGAGTTTCACTGCCTAGATTGTCTCCTCCACCCAACACAGGCAGTGGAAGGCACAACAAAAACTATGAGTGTTTACAGAGCACTTTTCTGTATGTGAGGCACTTTTTAAATAAAGTATTTCCACCCCACTAATTCAGTTCTCATAGCAGCCCCGTTAAGACAGATGCTGTTACTGTTCCCCGGGGTTATATAGATGAGGTGAGTAAAGCAACAGAGAAGACTGGCCATGTGCACATAGTTATACAGCTGCTAAGTGCAGAGCAAGGTTCTGTACCAGGCTGGCTAGCTCCAGAGCCACTGTTCTCATCCACCAAGATAAACTGTGGCTACCTTGGGATTTGCCTCAGGTCATTGCAAGATTGGTACCATTCCGTCCATTTCAGGCAGTCTTCTGCCTCTTGAGAACTCAGTGTGTTTGACCTCTAACCATTGGCCTTGACCTTGAAGTAGTAGAGAACAATGTGGAATAAAAAGAGTAACAGTTTTTTGTTGCTGTCCAGAGTACGAGGAGGCCCAGGGATTCCCAAGAAGAGGGGGGACATTTATTCAGAGTCCCTGGTGATCTAGATAGCATGTTTTATTTAATGCTAATAATGCTGTGAGACAGCTTTTGTGACCCCCCTTTGACAGGTGAGGATGCTGACACTGTCAGAGGTCACATGCCCAGGGTCACCTGGGAGTGAGGGAGTCACATGGCTGCTCTGTCCACAGCCCCCCAGCAGCTCCAAGGCTGCTTTCCACTATGCTGCCTTGCCCCCAAGCTGATGGCCCAGGACATTTGATGCTCACTAGAAATCATGTGCATGGAATGTCACCTTTGTTTAACCCTGCTGGGCTTTGGAAGAAGAAGGGCCCTGAAGCAGGCTGCTATGTCGAAAGTGCTCTGGCTTTAGGGTAAGGTGGCCTCAGCCCATCTTGCCTTTGCCATGTCTCCATTATGGTCCTCGGTGAGTCTTGATCCCAGCCACCTCTTCTTGCTCTCCCATGGAGGTGGATTTAAATCATGTGTCCAAAGAAAATGGAAAAGTGTTTAGGGTGGTGGTGAGTAGAATTCCTTTGGACACCAGGTCTGAACCCCAGGGGAGATTCAGAAGGGGGAACATGGGTCTTTTGGAAACAACTGATTTTGAAACACCACTTTGCCATTTTCTTGTCCTGCCCTGTGTTGAAGCTCTATATATAAATGTTAGAATAATGACAGTGTTTATAACAACAATAAGGAAAAGAATTTATAACAAAGAAAAGAGTTTAACCATAAGCGGGTGGTGTTGGACCAGATCGCTATCCTAGAATCCAATTAGAAAAACTACGGATTTCCTTCTGATTAAAACCTCTTTCTCTTCTGGATCAGTTGTGCCTCCTGGGGCTATTTGGTAATGTCTGGAGACTGTCTGGCTGTCACACTGCAGAGAGGTGCTGCTCACATCCATGTGAAGCCTAGGGATAGTGCTGAAATAGCCCTCCGGCTGTGCCAGGGCAGCCCTACCATGCAGTCATTGGCAAGACCTGGAGTCAGGTTGAGAACCCTGGGTTACTCAGCCAGTGCTCACGGTGTTACTGTGTACCAGGCATTGTTCTAAGTGCTGCAGAGGTAATTAACTCCCTTCATCTTCCCAGTGTTGTGACATCAGAGCTGTTACCATACTCATTTGGCAGATGAGGATGTCAGGGCACACAGAGGTTAAATAACTGGACCAGATTCCCACCTGGGGCCAAGGTCTCACTTGGAATGATTAATGAGCAGGCAAAACCAGGACTCAGAGTCAGAGTGGCTGGCTCTAGAGTCCACACTGTGGCCTACTGCCTTGCCCCTCTGTAAGGGGGGCTTACAGGCTCTGAACCCCACTTCAGCTTTGAGCCCAGAAGCTATATACCCAGAAATTTGCATGTGGGAAGAGTTAGAGACCTTTGGTCCATGCCTAGAAGTGGGGAGGGGGGAAGTCTAGGGCTCCAGGACCAGGGACTGTCTGTGAAAACCTTGTTTTCAGGTTTGGGATGTGCCTGAGCTGTGGCTTCAGTGCGTTCTGCTTTCCAGTCACAGGCCCTCTATGTTGTTGCAGAGGTAAAAACAACTGTGGTATACCCCGCCACGGAGAAACACCTGCAGAAGTACCTGCGCCAGGACCTCCGCCTGATCCGAGAGACGGGAGAGGACTACAGGAGCGTAACCTTACCCCACCTGGAGTCCCAGAGCCTCAGCATCCAGGTGATTGGCCACTGAGTCCTTCCTGTGGCTGGTTTCTCTTCCTGCAAAGCATTATTGGTAGCCAGGCAGTGTGGGAATAGCAGCGAACTTGGTAAATCAAGTCCTGCCCTGTGGAGCTGACACCTTCCATGGACAGTCAGACAGCGCAGTTACCAGAGGCCCTTATAGTGCAAGAGATTGTGAGTGCAGTGGAGAGAAGCAAACAGGATCTGTGGGACAGAGGGTCCCAGGAAGGGCTGGTTGAGATTTTGTATGGGACAGTCAGGGCAGACTTCTTGGAGAGAGGGATTGACCCTGATCTTGGGCCCCTTGTGAGGTTTTTATGGGGGCAGCTGAAGTTCCTGGGGATCTCTGAGCAGTCCAGCCTGCAAGAATTGTTTGAATCTGCTCTGTGGTGCATCACTGGCCTGGAAGAAATGAGAGTTCCAAGCATAGTCATAGCCCTGACGGTCTCAGATAGACTGTGCCTGTTGCCAGAGGCCAGTGAACAGATAAAAGACCAGTATTGGGTCAGGATCGTCTTGCTTCAGCCTCTTATCCCCGGACTTGCCTGAAGCAAATCAGCCCTCAGAAGCTGAGTCTTGAGTAGAAATTTCACTGCCATGATGTACTGCGCTTTCACCCGCGGACACAGCACCCAGTGGTTGCAGTGTTTTGCGGGCAGGGTGGCAGAGGGTTCTGGCTGAGTTAGATGCAAGGCTGCTTAGCACAGGGATCTGGGGCTCCTTGGGCCTAGGCCTGGTGCCAGCTAGAGCCTCTGCCCGGAATCGGCCCCATGTGGACACTTAGAGTTAAGTATGATGGATGCTTTTTGATGAGTCACTTCCTTGCCCACTCACTGGCTCTCACCAGCTCCTTCTCATTATCGCCATTCACTTTTGTTTCCGTGAGCACTTCTCCCTCCCCTCCCCAAGATCGGGTTTCCTAGGTGATGAGTGTTCTGATGGGGAACCCATACTGTCCTCTCTGACCTTGAAGATGTGAAGGTGCTGCTGTGAGGGCACTGCAGGCCAGCCATGCCAGGGAGGTGCTGAAAGAGGAGGCTGGCAAGGCCATTGGAGTACTGTTCTGGGGGCCTGTGTTCCGATAGCCCTGTTCTGAGGGTAGGATTTAGCCTGTTAATTAGCCATGGCTTCCGTGTGCAGCATTTGCACAAGGTTTCTTGGGCTCAAGCTGCCTTGGTCTCTCTCTTTTTTTTTTTTTTTAAGTCCCAGTATTTGTTCTGTCTTCTGAGTGGAAGGAAGTTTGTCTCTGCCTTCCTAGACAGTTCTGTTCATGGTCCTAAAGAGATCTGCCAGGACTTATGTTCTGTGGTACTGGTTGCACTTTCTGGGATTCAAGAGAGGATGTGCTAATGTATGGCAGACAGGGTCTCACTATGTACCCCAGGCTGCCTAAAACTTAGTGCATAGCCCAGGCTGCCTCTGCCTCCCGAGTTTTGAGATTATAGGCATGCGCCACCATGCCCAGCGTATACTGTACCCACCTTATTGTGCACCATTACACAGTTGCACTTGGAAATATACAACAAAAACTCTACTGCTGTTTCAGCTCCTGATTAACATGAAAAGCATTCATATGTGTTCCTTCCTGGATATTTGTAGCAAGTATAAGCACATAATTTAACTGGAAGTCACTGGGTCTACTTTCTGTGCTAACAGCTCAGGGTGTCCAGATGGTTGATGATCAGAGTTTTTCCACCTTGTTGCCCCCAGAATTTGCCTTTGGTGAACTGGAAGTCTGGGTTTGTGCCTTGTTTAGGTGTCTTCTCATTTCTTTTCTTTTTTCTCTCTCTCTTTTTTTTTGGGGTACCGGGAATGAACTTGGGACCTTGTGCTTGCGAGGCAGGTGGTGACACCACTGAGGTACATCCCTGGCCCTTTCTCATTTCTATTTTTGTTGTTGGTGCTATTTTTGGTTTAATTCCTGGGTTGATACTTCAATATTGCTTATTGTGAATATCTTTATTGTCTGTAATTACCTTATGGAATGGTTTCTTCTCAGAGGTGTCTTCCAGATATAGCTGGTCTTTAGGTTTTGAGTCTCTAATGACTCTTGGGCAATCTCATTTTCAGTATACCAGGAAGGACAACTGATTAGATCAATCACAACACCTTAGCCCAAGTGATACAATCGGCATCAACAGTAGTATCAAACACAGCTTAGAAAATGACAATTTATGGTAGCTCTTAATCTGTCACCTTTAACAGTGTAAACTTGATAAAAATAGAGGGTCATCCTAATATGTTTGTAGTAAATAAACCCTTTAATATATCAAATTTACCTTTCCCAGTGAAGTAGGAGTTGGGAGCAAAGGAGAGAGAGAAGGAGAGGGAAAAGTTAGAAGTGAGGCAAGAGGACACTGGAAAATCATGCAAACTTTGGGAAACTGTTGAAGACAAGGGGAAAAAACAGTGAAGGAACAAAGACAAGAACAGAACAAGCTAATAGCAATAGGGAACCTAGAAGGTGTATTCACCTTAATGAGGAGAGAAGGAAAGAGAATATAAATGCAAAATAGGACAGGAAGAAGAACAAAAAGGGACAGAAATGAAGAACAAGAAGGGAGAGAGGAGGAGGGAAGAAGAAGAAAGAAAGAGGAGGAGGAGGAGAAGGAAAAGGGGGGGCCTCCAGGGTATGTCTCTGCTGTAGTGGTAGACAGTATAGGCAGCCATGTGCAGATCTGTGTTTATTAGTCTCAGCAAGCCATCCATAGTCCACTGAGATTCAGGCTGATTTCTTGTTGCAAGACCTAAGTTGCGGCCCTTGACCTGTAACATTGATCTCTGCAAGGTTTTACAACAGGATTCAGCTGCCCTTCCCCCAAAGTGAGTCTGGTCACAGTTTACCAACCTCAGTGGTCTAGCGTGCCTTTCTAGCAGAGAGTTTCCCAGTGGGTTTCACTTTTCGTCAAGGAGACTCAGAGAGGCCCTCTCTTTGTTGTTCACTTCCGCTCTATATTCTGGAGCTTATAACCATGGTCTTTATGGCCCTGGACACCTCTGTAGTGCAGATTCAGAGACCAGGCTGGCCTGCACAGAGCCGGGGAGAGGCTGTGCCAGGTGCTGGGATAGGGGAGGGTGGTGGTCCTTGGCCCTCTGTGTGATGGGACTATGTCAGGTGCTCGGGTGGTGGGGGCAGTGCTGGGCCCTACTGTGTGACTCTGCCAGTTGCCCAGGCAGCGGGGCACAGTCCTAGTCACTGGATTTATTATATTGGGCATCTACTGTGCTTCATGGGCCTGGTGCACCTATGAAATGAAACCTTGCTGATACCCTCACAGTTAAGCAAGTCCAGAGGTTCAGGGAGCTGCATGGAGTGTGACATGATGCAGGCTCAGTATACAGGAAGACAGGAGGAGACAGCCCTGCAAGGAAAGACGGGCCAGGAGAAGGACGCTGTCCATGAGGTCAGGACCTCCCAAGCCCTGCTAATCATCAGAGTGGCCTGGGGGAGCAGAGAGCTCAGTCCCCTGTCTTTTCAGTCTGGCCCTTCAGAGAGTGGAGCTACCATGTACATTTATGTTTTGGACAATCAACAGATCTGAGGGTGATTGCCGTAGACAGTGACAGTCCCCTGAGTGGTCTTCAGACTTGGGTAATGTGGTCGGATTTACAGGATCCTCTGAGGCAGCAAGACTGCAAGCCAGCATGGATGTGAACCAGGTAGAGACAGCAAGGGATGATCGGTTGCAGTGAAGAGGTGAGCCATGCTGGGCTAGAATGCATTTGGAACTGGCTGATCTGGAGAGGCAGGGAAGAGTGTGGGGTGATCCTGGGCCAGCTTGACCAGGATGGGCATGTGGACAGAGGGGTGAGTTTGTGGGAAGACAGCAAATCCCATTTGGAGTTTTTTGAGCACTCTGGGTGCCAGGACCTGTTCTAGTTCCCGCTTCCTCATCACCTCATTCAGTCTTCACAGCAGCCCTTTTGGAGATTGAGACATCTCTGTCTGGCTTCAGTATCTGCATTATTAGCTGCAACACTTTTTGTTTCCTCAGATTTGAAGTGCTTGTAGCTTCTGAGTAAAAATGCAGTGGAGTTGGTGAATTGTGGCCGGAGGAGAGGGGCAAGGTGGGCAAGCGCAGTGGGCGTGGAATGAAGAAGGATGAAATGTACCGTGGGAGGCTAGGAGGAAAGAGGGAGTTGCCAGCGCCACTGCCTCCAGCCAGATGTCCTAAAAAGTGTCATACGCAACCCCATTATCAGTGGGGCTGCTGTGGTCCCTAAGGCTGGCTTTGGGAGCCAGGCTCATGGGATTGGAATTGTACAAGCCTGTGCACACTTCTTTGCACCTGCATTTTCCTTAGCTGCAAAATGGGGAAATAGCCAGGTGCGGCAGCACACGTGTGTAATCCCAGTACTCTGAAGGCTGAGGTAGGAGGATTGCTGTGTGTGGCCCGCCTGGCCACATAGAGAGTTCAAGGCCAGTCTGAACTACGTAGCAAGACCCTGTCTCAAAAACATTGAAATTTTAAAAAGCAGCGGGTGCTGGGAATTTGACTTAGTGGTGCTGCCACCTACCCTGCAAGTGCAAGGTCCTAAGTTGGATCCTGTACCACACCCCCCAAAAAAGATGGGGAGGGGAATGGTGTTGGGTTGGTCTTCCTGTCCTCATACCTGTCTGTCCATCACTTGGCCTCTTAGTCACTTTCCTGTCACTTGACACAACTGACACCTGCAGTTTCAAAAGAGGAGAAATTTATTTTTGCTCATGGTTTCAGCAGAAACAGCATGGCAGAGGGGCAGGCCGAAGGAAAGGTGCTTAACCCATAGCAGCCAGAAAGCAGAGAAGAAAGGAAGTGGGGCCCAGAGTACACCCTTCCAGGCCAAGCCCCCCTCCATTTTAGATCTAAACCACAATAGCCCCCATTCCTCACACTTCTTGTCTAGCACCACCTTTGCTCTCACCAGCTTGCACTCTTTTCCTGTGGTATTTGGTCCTTCCAATATGGGGATTGAACCCAGGGCTGTCTTCACACTGAACTACATCCCCATCCCTTTTGTTTTTTTTAAATTTAGTTTAAAAAAAATTTTAAGTACATGTTTGTAGTACATAATGTTTACGTTCCTTGTGTGGAGTTGGTACATGTACATAGCACATCTTAATTCCTTTTATCTATTTTTTCTCTTTCCCTTCCCTTCCCCCTTCCTCCATCTCTTGATCCCTTTCCCATTTGAGAAAGATCCAACCCTTTTCTGTTTATATTTTGAGACAAGATCTTGCTACGTTGCCCAGGTTGGACCTCAACTTACCATCCTTCTGCTTCAGCCCCCCAGAATGCTGGGATTGCAGGTGTGCGCCTCCCAGCGGAGCTTCCAAGCACCGTGCGCTGTTGCCTGTAGGGTGCCTCCTCCATACTGGTCTCTTGGCTGGGTGCTTTTGTGTGCATGTCTTTTAAAGTCCTCACTGTAATCCTCAAATGTAAGTCTTTGTTAGCCCCATTTTATAAAGGAGGATTCATTTGCTTGCCCAGGATGGCAGCAAGTCAGTGGAGGAAGTAGGAGATGAACTAAATGTCATGGGGCTCAGAGGCCCAGTCTCGTGTTGACTGCCTGCTGCTTTTCAGTGGGAGGTGGCACCTGGCCGTGGGCAGGCATGGCAAGGGAGCCTGCTGGGGGAGTGTCAGTGTCTGCAATGGGGAGTCCCACTCTCCCTCCTTCCCCTCTGTTCCTGGGAGGCTTTAGGTCAGCTTGCAAGTGCTTTGTTTTTTTCTCCTGCTACACTTTCCCAGAAAGGTCTCTGTGGGAGAAGAAATGTCTCTGCAGAGTCATGGCCCTTGAGTTGTGCGTGACACTAGCCATGGACACTGTGTGAGGAAGACAGCATCAGGTGTCCTCCAGGCCCCTGCCAAGGAGGAGCTTGTCCTGGAAGGGCATCTCTTCTGCGGTGAGTGGACTGCACTGTGACCAGCCTATAGGTCTGTTCAGGGGGCCTGGAGACCCTCTGGGCCGAAATGCCTCCTGTGCGGAATTGCAGCACGGAGAGGCACAGATAATCTGAGGCAAATGTCCTCTGCTCCCTCCCTCCGGGCTCAGGCTAGGAGGTGTACACGTCCTGGCCAGACCCTTCCCCCTGGCTTCAGGTCTCTGCCTATGCCAGCATGTCAGAGAGTGGGAGGAGGACTGTGATGGTCTGGTTCTTTTGGTTCTCTGACTCCCCTGACGGACTCCCCTCCTCCATCAGAGCTTTTGGAGGTCCGTCTGACTTGGAGGAGGAGACACAGTGTGGCCCCAACTGCTCTCCTGTCCAATTTCCCAGAGTGTTTCTCTTTTGGATGTGGGGTGTTCATACTGCAGTGGGCTCACAGAGCTAGGGGACACAGAGAAGAGCCAAGCGTGCCTGGGCTGAAACTCCGCAAGCCCCACCTTCGTGCAGTCTGACTTCCTCAGAAAGGCCTCTCAGACTGTCCCTATATAGTGACATCCTTGGGATACACACAGAGTTGGGGAACCGTCCTCCTAAGACTGCCTTCCCTGAGTCCTATGGGCAGTGCAGAGTCACTGCTGTGTGGGGTCAGGGCAGACAGGGCTCATGAGTGTGCAGCAGAGTGCGTGTGCTGATCTGGAAGAGCGTACAGGGCAGGGCGCAGCCTGGGCTGAGCTGCAGAGACACCTGGGCTGACTGTGGGCTGAGAGCCACTTATGATGGGAGAGGGGGAATTTCTTCTAGACCTGTGAGCAGATGCTTGGGGACAGCCAGCCTGACTGGATCTGTCAGGTAAGCAGTCTTTTATTTTATTTGTTTGTTTGTTTGTTTGTTTATTGGTACCGGGGATCGAACTCAGGTCCTTGTACTTGCGAAGCAGGCGGCAGAACCATTGAGCTAAATCCCTGGCCCATCAGTCTTTTTTATAAGCTGAGTAGAAGGGACAGTGAGCTTACCTAGCCCATTTTGCAAACCATCTCTCTCCTCCTTTCCAGTGGGTATATAACATTCTTGACAAGAAGGCTGAAGCTGATCGGATTGTTTATGAGAATCCAGATCCCTCTGACGGCTTTGTTCTCATCCCTGACCTCAAGTGGAACCAACAGCAGGTAAAGATTATTCCCTAAAGTGCTCTGGTCTCTGCCCACCCTGCTCCAGGTTGCTGGCCTCCTCTGGCTGCCCTACTTTCTCACACTGGCCTCTCTGAACAGAGTGTAATTACCCAGCACAGGGTGGCCTGAGCTCTCCATGGTGACAGACTATGTACCTGTTAAACACAAATGCTTTGACTTTCATGGTCAGCTGAAAGCTCTTTCTTGTTCTCCCCCATGACCGGGGTTACATAGGCCATTCTGTAACCAGCCTGGTGGCTTGGGCTGCCAACTTTGTTTCCAGCAGCGCCGGGAGCCCCAAGGGACAATGTTTACATTCTCTCCATCCCCCTGACACCAGCAGACCTGGGCAGGCCTGTGTTCCAAAGTGCTGGCAGGCAGGAGCCATGGCGACCAAGTCATGGAGTTCCTGCCCAGCCTGAGCTGGGTGTCCAGTGGTCCAGACCTCCACTCCAACCCCTCACCTCCCTGTTTCCTGGCCTCTAAGCGCCTGTCCCCATTCCCTGTGGTTTGTTCCTGCCTAGAGTAGCTGGAGGAATTAATGACTGGAATCCTGACCTCTTAGTGGCTCTATGTATCCCCATCATTCTCCTCAGGCTAATTTTTTTTTTTTTTTTTAAACGTTGGTTCTAGAGATTGAACTCAGGACCTTGTGCTTGTGAAGTAGGTGCAACACCTCTGAGCTAAATCCCCAGCCGCTGCTTTGGTTTTTTTGGAGACAGCATTTCACTATGTAGTTCAGGCTGACCTTGAACTCACTGTGTAGCCTCTTGCACGATGGGGTTACAGGCATGTGCCACCATGCCTGGCTCTCTGGCAGGTCTTGAGCCAAAGCCTAGTCATGGGAGATGAGCCCTGGGTAGAAGGAACATCTATCTCAAAAACTCCTGAAGACTGATGAGTTTGTAACTGCAGAGGGTACAGCCCAAGGGCCAGAAAGCCAATAGAGATGGAGTTGAATGTCTCCATTCCAGAAGCACAGAATGGATCTGAGCCCATGGTGCTACTGATGAAAATCTTTGAGATCAAAGACTGTCAGGTATCTGTCTCACATGCCAGTGGGATTCTCCCCCCACCCCACCCCCCGTCCTCTTTAACACTGGAAAGACAGCAGGACATGGTGGTGCATCCCTGTAATCCCAGCACTTGGAAGGCTGAGACAGGTGAATCAGTGGGAGTTCAAGGCTAGCCTGGAATGTATGGCAAGAGCCTGTCTGAGAAAACCAAGAAAAGAAACTGGATAGGCTTTGGCAACTGCACTGAGCTTTCATCCCTCTGAGGTTTTAAAGGGGCTATCCTACGCTAGGGATTTAGCTCAGTGGTGCTGCCACCTGCCTTGTAGTGCAAGGTCCCGAGTGCAATCCCTGGTACCTAAATAAATAGATAGATAGATAGATAGATAGATGATAGATAGATAGATAGATAGATAGATAGATAGATAGATAGATAGGCTGGCCTAAATTGTCAGACTATGCCTTATAGGTAGGTCTTTGCTTAATTCTTGCTTGACATTTAATGGTGCCATACTTCAGTGCCACGGATCGTTGACTTGTGATAGCACTGAACTTGATTACTCCCTTAGAAGATGGCAATGTATCCAGCAGGAAGACAGGTCTTATCTTGGCTTTTGTTCCTTATTCCAGGGCCAGGGAAGGATTATGGGGCGAATGCTTTAGTATTTTCTCTGAGAAGTCTTCCTGGCACCCTTAAGTCTCCTGCTGCTTCTTTTTGAAGTTAATCTTGTTTTCTTTTCCTTCTTTTGCTGTGCTGGTGATAGAATCCAGGTCTTCATGCATGCTGAGTTAATGCTGTACCACTGAACTAAAACCCCAGCATCTGGAAGTATGTAACAAAACGTGTGTGTGTGTGTGTGTGTGTGTGTGTGTTTGAGACAGGGTCTCTCTATGTAGTTGAGACTGACCTGGAACTCACTGTGTAGCCCAGGCTGGTCTCAAACTCAGAGTGATCCTCCTGCCTCAGCCTCCCCAGTGCTGGGATTACAGGTGTGCACTGCCACACCTGGCTCATGGAAGTATATTTTTATTGTCTCCAAATTGATGGCCCTGTATTTATCTATTTGTTCTCCTTTCCATCCATTCAGCAAATATGTATCAAGTACCTAATGCTGCTAGAGATTATGTCTCCTCAGGGATTATGACATCCCTTCCTCACTTCTCTGAAGAGATCACCTGAGTGTTCATTCTGTTCCTTGTGTTTGCTAATGTGTGCCCATGGTAAAGATGCATTCAGAACAGTGAATGTGCAGGAAAATTAAGTTCCCTACCCCGCCTTTTTCTCCACTTGCCTTCCCCAGAAATAATCATTGTTGCTGATTCTTTGTTTCTTCTTCCTGGGTAGTCTGTCTTCATATGTGGTGTATATAGACACGAATATATGTGTACATATAAACTTTTTTTTTTTTTTTTTTTTTTTTTTTGTACTGGGGATAGAACTGTTGCACTTACAAGGCAGGTGGCGGCACTTCTGAGCTAAATCCCTGTCCCCATATATTTTCATTTCATACATTACAAGTTCTTTGGTGTAATGTTCTCACACTAGGGCACCCGTCGCTCCAGAGGTCAGGAGATGGCTTTCCAGCACTCTAGCCATTCTGAATTCCCCTTCTCCAGGAAAGTATTACCTTGATTTTCCTGACCTGCTGTGTGAAAAGAGGCTGCTGGTGTCTGTTTTCCAGGGTGATCGGCAGGCTACCTTCTGGGGTGCCAGCCTCAGGCCTTCATCACTTTCTTATCTAGCTTTTTTCAGATCATATCTGGGCCAGGAGGCTTTTTGGCTGCCTGGAGAAAATCTTGGGCCACGTCTGATGTGAAAGAATGGTTTCTTTTCCCTCCCTCACCCACCATGTGAGCTGACACCCAGCACCAGGCTCCGTGCCTTGTTCCATGCCAGTGGAGCAGAGAGATGGGATTTAATGTCACATTTGGGATTTGTCAGCAGACATCACCTGAAACAAATGGTACTATTATTTGAGTATCTCATGACAGTGACGCATAGTACATTTATAGCCACACACACATCAAGCAGTCTTGTTTCCTGGTTTCTCCTTGGACGCCTCACCAGTGAGAGAGTAAATTTCCTAGGCACAGGCCATGAAGGGAGAGTCCAGAGGGACAGTGGGCAAAACTGAGGCCCTGGTGGATGCAGCTGCACCTCGCTCACATACTAGCAGCTTCTCATGAGCTTATCTGTAGCAATCTAGCCAGGGAGCCAGATTGTTCACTCTGACAGGGAAGAATGTCTACAGCACAAAGAGATGCAACACATGGGGGCATTGGGGTCACCTGGAAGACTGCATTCTCAGTTTTTGGGTTGGCGTCTCTGGAGATTTGGCTGGTGACTCATGGTCCCCAGATACCTCCATAACAAATTTGGCAAGTCAGACTGCAGGGCTGGGCCACCCTGGTCCTCAGAGTCCCAGGCCCTGGAACCTTGGCTGGTCAGCACAAGAGTGTGATAATGAGACACAGGAAGGGTCTGGGGGAAGCAGGGTGGGTGTGGAGTGGTTTCCAGGCAAGAGGAAGAGTTTATTTGTTCTCTGGCATAAGGTCCTGTTGACTGGTCTTTGCTCTGTTGTGACCTCCAGATTTTCAGGAAGGACAACAGGAAAGGCTGCCCACCTCTGTGAGGGTGCTCGGTGTTGAGTAGGCCTCAGGCTCCCCCCACACACACACATCCGCCCACACGAGCTACTGAGTAGACAGATAAGGCAGCTCTCTCACCCAGTTCTGTGCCCTCCACAGTCTTGCCTCCACCTTCACTCTCACGGTTCCCTCTCTGAATGTCCTCCTCTAAACCCTCTAAACCCTGCCTCTTTCAAGACCCAGCCCCTGGCTTTTCTCCCAGGAGGCCTGCCTGGGTCCCTGAAGCTAGCTAGAGCCTGTGCTTCCTCCTGTGGCTTGATCACATTAGGTCTCAGGGCCATAGCTCAGTGGTAGAACACATGCACAAGGTCCCCGATCTGAGCCCCATCACATGCACAAAATAATAATCTGATGCACTTTTTGTAAGTAGAGTGACTTATGTACATGAATTAGATTGTAAACTCTTGGAGGAAGACTCAGCTCTTTCATAATCCCTACCCCAGCTCACAAAGATGACCAGCCAGAGCGAGCTTTGCCTGCCACTGTCTGGTTGGTTCATTGGATACCCCTTCATAAAGTTCTTTAGCAGAATAATACACAGAAGCCCTGTTTTTAGATAGTCCCACTCATCCTGGGCCCTGGGATACCTACAGTATATGAGGATCCATCCCACTGTGGAGTCTCCTGGATTGGCTGTGGAGGTGCTACAGGCCTTGAGGGTAGACATTTCCAGGGCTGGCAGCCTCTATGGTGCTGCCCCTGTGGGGCCAGGCATTGCCCTCTTTCACCTCTCTCCATGCAGCTCGATGACCTATACTTGATCGCCATCTGCCATCGCAGAGGAATCAGATCACTTCGGGACCTTACTGCAGAGCATCTGCCACTGCTCAGGAACATCCTCCGGGAAGGGCAGGTGAGTTGCTTCCCCAAACCACAATGAAGTCCAGAGGTTACACTCAGATTCCAGTGTGTTCCCTGGGCCTCTTCGCTTACCCTTCCCAGAGTCTGTCCTGGAAATGGCTTTCTCAGGATGCCAGCCTTGAACCTTGTTAAGGCTCATTAGGTTTATTAACAAAGCCCTTCTTCCCCTGGTCCTTCTTGATCCTACAGCTCTATTTTCAGCCATCTTTCCTGACTCCCTGCCTTTCTCTGCAGGTCCCGTTTGGGATCCTCTCCACCCTGTAAGCCAGTGATGGCGAACCTATGGCACACATTCTGCAGCAGGCTGTTTGTATCATTGAAAGCTCTAAAAGGTTCTCCATCACTGCTATAGACACTGCTATGTCCTCAAGTCCTGGCCCCTCCTACCCCTGTAGCTCTTCCCCTGAGGATCTTGCTCTTAGCAAGATGATTTTCTGGAGTTTGTGGGCACCCAACTTTGACTTGTGTATGCACACGTGCCTCCTCGTCTAGATAGAGGACAGGCTGCATTTTGTAGCACCTGGCTTTTTGGGACACTCCCTTTCTGAAACATTTGTTAAATGAACTGAAATAATAAGGGTACCACGAAGAACCCTAGGAATAGAGGAAGATGGCCGAAGATTGACTAGAATCTTGGATAGTGATCCTGGCCTGACATTTTTGCCTAGCTGGCTAACTGGCCTAGGGCAAGTCAGTTCACCTCTGCGGACCTCAGTGCCTGATTGAGACCCCTCTGAATCCACCATTTCTACTCTGAAACATGAAGATATGCTACACACTTATTGTGCCTAGGGGCTGACAGTCATGAGGATGACCAACCAGAGAGCCCTGCCCCTTTCTGTCCATTTCCCCAGCACTGTCCCCGGACCTGTCTCCTCCTTCCCCCAGCCTGCCAGTGTCACCCCTCTCTGGCTGCCTTCATCTCTTTGAAGTAATGTACTTCTGTCCAGTAGTAGCCTCTGGTGTCTTGCTCTCTGGGACACGGGGCCCACACTTCTCTGCTTGGGTAGCTTCACCCCTGCAGGGCAGCTGTACTAATCCCAGGAAGCCCCTTCATGTGCCCTGGCTCTGACCTCACCCTGTTGCAGTGATCCCAAGGCTGAGCTCCACAGGCTCTGATTCTGAGGTGTATTCTGAGCTCAATGAGGCCCTAGTCTTTTCTGCTTCTCTTTTCACTGTTTTAGGGATCTGACTGCGATGGAGATCAGGGTCGTTCCCCCCGCCCCCGCCCCCGCCCCCGGTACTGGGGATCGAACTAGAGACCTGAGGCAGGAGTCAGAACCACTGAGCTAAATCCCTAGCCCTTCCTCTTAATGCTAATAAGCCTTTGGGGCTCCTGAAGGCCTCCTGCTGAGCAGGCTGGAGGTGGGCAGAAGAAATGGGCCAAAGTAAATGCCTTCTTTTGTGAGGAGCCCAGCTGAGGTCTATCTGGGGCAGCCTTTCCCGTGCCCTTCCCCCATCCTTCATCTTTTGCCAACTTTCCAGCACACCTCTGTCTTCATTGTTTTCGAGCTTTATTCCAAGAAAAAGCAAGGCTTCCTTCCACCTACCTTGTGGTTTACCGAGTGATTTTAAATTGTCCAAGGGAAGGACAGACCCCACAATCACAGGAATCTAAGGCCTGTCCTTAGGCACTGGCAAGCACTAACTAGATTCCCGTAGGAAGCCAGAGTTTGACCCAGCTTGGGATAAGAAACCCAGACGGAGGCCACATCCCCTTCCTTTCGGGAAATGTCCCAGCTTTGATGCTGTCACTCACATTTGTTGATTTCCTAGAGTGGAAGACAAAAGGATCTGAAGCAAACAGTGAGCAGAGAACCATTAGGAGGGGTTTCTAACTGTCTTAGGCTAACCTGGATTAAGACAGAAGGTGACCCAGGTGGACGATATGGCCCTGCCTTGCCAGCAGGATGATGACCCTGTCTTGCCACTCTCCTTCCCCACCAGGAAGCCATCCTACAGCGCTACCAGCTGATGGGAGACCGCCTACGAGTGTACTTGCACTACCTGCCATCCTACTACCACCTGCACGTGCACTTCACTGCCCTGGGCTTTGAGGCCCCTGGTGCGGGTGTGGAGCGTGCCCACCTGCTGGCTGAAGTGATTGAGAACCTGGAGTGTGACCCAAAACACTACCAGCAGCGCACTCTAACCTTCGCCCTCAGGGCTGATGACCCCCTGCTCAGGCTCCTGCAGGAGGCACAGCAGCACTAAGTGTGTGTGGAGAAAAGGCACAGATGCACAGCATTGGGGCAGTGTGGGGTGGGTTTTTATCTCCAGGGTAGTTTTAAAAAATACATTTTGTACTGGCTTATTCCTCATATGTCAATAAAATACCAGGCTCATGGATGAGGGCTGATTGCCTGACCTGGGAAGGGCAGCAGGTGGGCAGAGCTGGTGGGAAGATCCAGGGAAGGGTGGAAAGTCTCAGGGTGGCAGCTACAGGTGATGAGAGACAGCGACCCCAGAAGGATGTTGAGGGCTTTGTCCCCATCCCTGTGCTCTCCATGACTGTTGGTTTCCTGCCTGAGTCTGTGCGTCCCTGTTTGCACTCTCACTGCCACATTTCTCCCCACCTCAACTCCCTTTAGGGGAGGTCCCCAAAAAACCAAATTTGAAACTTTCCGGAAATGGGCTACAGAGGTTTTGGATGCCACTTCCTCTTTTACTCTTCAGCAGTGAGGCCACACCTTGCATTGAGTTAACACTGTTGTTGTTTTGTTTTGTTTTTGAGACAGGGTCTCACTATGTAGTTGAGACTAACTTGGAACTCATTATGTAGCCCAGGCTGGTCTCAGCCTCCTGCGTGCTGGGATTACAGGCGTGCGCCACCATGCCCGGAGTTGACACTCTTGATAAATTTTTTGAGCGGATGGGGAATTGATGGCTGGAAATGGGAGTGTTTTAATGAGAATCAGATGATGCAGCACCAAATGCCTGCCTTTGCCTCTTAGCCAGTGTTTGGCCTTGACTTTGTTACCTAGGCAGGAAGACAAAACAGACTCACATGGAGCAGCCAGAAGATAAGCGCAAAACAGTGTTATCAGCAAGGGTAAAGTGAAGAGTTGCAGTTGAGTACAGAAGCTGTGAGGGGGCTTGGGCTTGGGGTGTGGTCACCTCCATAGGTTCACAGAATTTCGAGGCCAGGAGGCACCGGGAGATGACTAGACGTGGAGCCCATGGACACATCTGGGAAGGGTGTCCCATGAGGGCTTTCTGCAGTACAGAAGATGGTGGCATCACACTGTCAGAGAGGGATGGATGTTCCTTTGTCAGGTAGAGCTGAGGAAAACATGGCCTGCTTAGGGAGCTCTCTGGGGAGACAGGATATCGGGCTCTGAAGGGACAGTGGGGAAGTGTGAGGCAACAGGATGGCTGTCACTCTGTCCCCTACCTCTGGGACCAGGAGGGCTGGATTCAGAGCCCAGCTCCCTTGCTTACAGGTGAGGCCTTCACAGGGTGGCCGGGTGTGGTACCTGCTGTAGGCCTACACTGCCCACTGTGGAGAACCACAGTTGAACCAGTGGCCCTGGAAAGAGCAGAGAGGTGGAGTGGATGGTCAGAAAGTCCCCGAGACCTGCTTTATCCTCCAGTCTAGCCTTCCGTGCAGCAGTTCAGAAGCCCCAGGATTTATGTAACTAGAGCTGGGGTGAAGGAATTGCCTCAGGAGGTGATCAAACCAGGTGGGTCTATCCAAGATGCAGTCAGCCAGATCCACTTGTGACTTCCTGAACCAAAAGGAAATACCTTGTGGGCAGGGCAGGCCCCCCTGGGTGCTGGGTGCTGGGTGCTGACCTGAGGTCTTCTCCCAGAGCAGTTTGCAGCTGACTGGCTGCTTCCTCATCTCAGTTGCTTCTCTTCCATGCACCAAAGGAGAAAAGTGATGCTTCCCCTCAGAAAGCAGAAGGCCCTGACAAGCAAGTCCCAGCTCTAGCAGTCCTGAGGCACCTAGTGCATGTTCCCTGTGGAACATCCACATCCCCTCAGCCACATCTCATGTCCCTGCCCCAGCCCCATCCCCAACCCCAACTGTGCCGCCTGCCAGGCCAGCTGCGACTGATGGCTGGGTGCCTAAACCTGTGGGAGGGAGGAGTGATGGGACAGACCAGGTTAGGGGGTCAGCAGTGAGGGGAGGGGTCTGGTCTAGAGAGGCAGGAAGAGCCTTCCCAGGGCCCTGTTCCAGGCAGACAGACTTACATGGACGGCTTCCCGGCGCCCCGTGGCTTGGCCAATTCTGTCTTCGTTTTGGCTCATTCTGTGAGGAGGGGCCTCTAGGGTAGTGTCCTCTCCACTCCTCCCCGACCTCTGTCTTCCCAATGGCATGGAAGGATCTCCTCTCAGGCCTCAGACTTAGTTTCCTATGTATAGTTGGAAGGACAGGTCTCGGAGCGCCCACCACAGCAAGCCAGCTTCTGCCTCTGCCATCTGCAGAAACGTGGCCGCCACACTGTGTCCCTAGGCTAGAACACAGCCCCCTTTGCTCTCACCACCTCCGCACCTCATCTAAGGCAGCCCACACAGGGTTGCCACTGTGCCGAGTATGGGGCCATCTAGGACCCAGAAGCACACTTTGTGTCTTTCAGGGTGGCCCTATCTGTCTGAAGCATGACTTGTCCAGCTAGCTTCGCATACCTCTGACTCCTGCTTGTAACTTAGTTTGCCTGTCTTCCCCATTTGACTGGGAGGGCCATGAGGGTAGGAGGTTGTTTTGGTTATTTCTCTCCCCAACACCTGGGATGCTGTCTAGCTGACAAATTGACTATAATACTTTACAAAATTTCACTGGACCTTCAGCCTTGCTCCATTTTAGAGATAAGAAAGCTCCAGATAAGGGGCTGGGGATTTAGCTCAGTGGTTCCAGCGCCTGCCTCGCAAGCCTGAGGACCCGAGTTCAATCTCTGGTACCAAAAAAAAAAGGATCCGGATACCTTGTCCAGTGTGTTATGGGATGGATGTCATCTCCAGGAAGCAGAAACTTCCCAGTCTTTGTGTGCCATTTATCCAGAGTCTAGGGTAGTGGCTTGCCTGGAATACATATTTAATAAACTGTGTGCAGGAGCGGAGATGGGCTCTGAATCCAGGCCTCCTGTCTCCTGGGCCACCCCTTGCTGTCACTTGAGAGCCCAACATCCTGCCTCCCCACAGCCTCCTGAGCAGGGGATGTTGTCCTCAGCCCTGCCCTCTCCCAGCAGCAAACGCCGACCCCTCTAGCAGAGCGATGCAACTGTCCTCTGCTGCAGAGTGCCCTCAGGCAGATGTTATCCCTCCTGGCAAGCCCCAGCTGGCTCCACAAGTGGTCTTTGGCCCCCAACACTGACTTGCTGTCTATGTGGTCTGGCTGGAAAAGGAAAGCAGCAGTTGGGAACATGGCTGCTCTTCTTTTTTGGCTTTTATCCATTTGCTCCAAAGTTTTCTAACAGAGCAAAAGTGCTATATGTGAACATAAAATTGAGAAACTGAATTTATTCAAGCTGTGTCCTATACATTAGTCTTGAAAAAAGATCCTCAATTTGAAAAATCAAAGTAATTACAGCCAGGCATGGAAATGCACATCTGCACTCCCCATTGAGGGAGGCTGAGGCAGAAGGATCACCATGAGTGCAAGGCCAGCCTGAACTACATAGTGAGTTCAAGCCAGCCTGGGGTACATAGTGAGAACCTGTCTCAAACAAACAAAAAAACCAAAATTACATGCAAAGTAATATTTGAAAATGTTTCTCTTGTGATACATCCTTACCTAAAACATTGAATCCAGTCTTCCCTCAGCAACTCAAGTTGGGTTCTGGGACACCCCACTCCCATGCCAAAACCCTTGCATGCTCAAGTATCTGGTGGTGTAGAATGTACATGTAACCTACACATGACCTCTTACATACTTTAAATTACCTACACATTACTTAACTTGTTTTGTTTTTCTTTTGCAGTACTGGGGATCGAACTCAGGACCTTGGTGCTTGTGAGGCAGGTGCAGCACCACTGAGCTAAACCCCTGGCCCCGCTGTACATTACTTACAATGTCTAATACATCGAGCTTTAGACCCACAATACATAGTGGAGTCCGTGGTGGCTTAAGTCAGATAGGTGGTAAAACCTGTAATTTTTCAACTAGTTAATTTAATTGGCAAATAAAAATTGTACACTTGCTATGCTGTACCGTGTAGGGAATGATGTCAAGAGAAAACTACATGCTCAGTACAGATACACACAAATGCTGGGCAAACGATGCACCACTGGGCTGCCTCCTGTGCCCTTTCTCCCATGTTTTTGGAACCCATGCAGCTAGAGAGCTAAGTGGTTTTCTCCACATAGGTCTGCTCTCTTCTTCCAGAAAGGAACATTTTTATTGCAAACATTATATATTATTAAAATATCCTTTCTTTTATAAAATGATAATTAATGATAGTTGTTTAAGTATCCTGACAAATGTTGGCAACCCTAAGTGTTTTATCATCTTTAATGAAATTATATTGTGTCAACTTGAAGTTACCAAGTAAACACTGTTAGCAGGGACTGAATCAATTTAGTGTTTCAGTTCAATCTAATAAACAGGTTTTGAATATAACCCTGCTTGCTTCTTTTCTTTCCTTTTTTTTTTTCCTTTGGCTTTGAAGAACCTAGACTTAGGTAAGGCTCATATAACACTTGCAATTTTATAAGAAATACAAAATGATGAAATAGTACCTAAAAGGAGTAATGTGTCCATGGCACTTTACACCAAAGAGGAGCTAGCCCTGTAACTTTTAAAACTACTGTTAGCATGGTGTCACACACCTGTAATCCCAGCACTCAGGAGGCTGAGGCAGGAGGATCGCCATTCCTTCAAGTCCAGCCTGGGCTACATAGTGAGTTCAGGGCCAGTCTGAATTATCTAGCAAGACCCTGTTTCAAAAAAAACAAAAGCTACTTTTAATGGACAAAAATTGCCTGTATCTATGGTGTACAACCTAATGTTTTGATATACACGAGTTGCTAAATCAAACTAGTCAATTTATGTATTACCTCACATTACAAGTCTTTTTTTTTGGTTTTTGGAGACAGGGTCTCACTGTGTAGATGAGACTGACCTGGAACTCACTGTGTAGCCCAGGCTGGTCTCGAACTCACAGTGATCCTCCTGCCTCAGCCTCCTGAGTGCTAGGATTACAGGCGTGCACCAACATGCCCTGTTTACAAGTCGTTTCTTTATGATGGGAATGTTTAAAATTTCACCAAGTAGTTTTCAAGTATACAATACATTGTTACTGACTATAGTCACCATGTTGCACAATACATCTCCTGTCTAACTGAAAGTTTGTATCATTCGATCATCTGCCCAGGCCAGCTCGGCCAGCCCCTACCAACCACCTTTGTACCCGGTTTCTGTGTTTGACTTCAGATTCCACGCAGAAGTGAGATCATACATTGTCTTTTTGTGCTTTGGGTCAAAACCTGATAATCGTTAGCCAGAGAGCAAGCACAAGCAGAGGTCCACAGTCAGGGAGACTGCATGTCGGTAGGACTGGGACTCGGAGCTAAGCTTGTGGTATGGGACAGGCACTACAGTCAGAGTACTAGGCAGTTTTTCAGAGCTGGGATGAGGAAATGATGGGCTGGCTGAAACAGTGTTAAGAGTGTCACCTAGCATACAGGAGACCCCTGGTTTGATTCCCAGCACCAGGAAGCAGGGAGACAAGCAGCTAAGGCTAAGGGGAAATTTGCTAATGGTCTGTTCCTTCTCTGCTGTTATTCTAGCTGGACTTGGCATCATAACCAAGTATGATCTCTGTCTAGTTACACAACTGCTCATGAAATGAGTGATAACAGTTTCTACCCCAGAGAGGTTTGTGAGGGTTAATAGGATTTTGTGAGATGTGGTACTCAGTATTATTATTAGTAGTAGTAGTAGTAGTAGTATCAATGGATGTAATCAGAGAGATTTTTGGTTAGATACATGCTATAGCCTGAATTTGTGTCCCCTTAAAATTCATATGTTAATATCCTAACACCCAATGTGATGGTGTTTCTCCTTGGGAGGAAAAAAAAAATGATAGGCAAGGCTAAGAGAAAATTTCATGGAGGTGGAGCCCTCATGATAGGATTAGTGTCTTATAAAAGAAACCCAAGAGACTTCTAGTTTCTTCTACCATGTGAGGTGATAGGATGGTAAGAAGTCTATGAACCAGGATGCAGACACATTGCCAATACTAAATCTCTTGATAACTTGAGCTTGGATTCCAGTCTCCAGAATGGTTAGATACAAATCTTTGATGTTTATAAACCACACAGCTGGATAGGGGACTTAGCTCAGTGGCACTGAACCTACCTTACAAGCACAAGATCCTGAGTTCAATCCCTGGTACCAAAACCAAACAAAAACAAACAAAAAACTCATATGGCCTACGGTGTTTTGTTACAGCAGTTCAACTGGACTAAGGTAATACTAAAGTAACTGCAAAAGCTTATAAGTACCTACACTGTGTAGTGGAGGCATCGCAGCCCAGAGATTTTAAGAAAAAAAAAGCAAGCCATAAACTCTGTGCTTAATTGATTGTGGCCCTGCATGCAGAGATTTCTCAAGATTTCCTCCAGCCTGAAGGTTCCTGTAATGTGTTTTATTTCATTTTATTTTTTGGTACCAGGGATCAAACTCTGGTCCTTGTGCTTGGGAGGCAGGCAGCGGCACCACTGAGCTAACCACCACCCCCCCCCCGGCCCCCTCCCCCTGGAATGTGTTTTAGACGTAGCCAACAGGCAGGTTTCTAATACAGCGAAAGTGATGTCTCCTGCCATTGAGAACCCTGGGAACAGCTCAGCTCCATGGTCCAGCCATAGAGATCTGATAAAAATAGGAGCTGAAACACCATCCTGGAGTTGCTATTTTTAAAAGCATCTGAGATGCGGGATTGGGTTTATTTCTTCCTCAAACAGAATCTTGCTGTCCCCTCCTCCTGGTGGGCAAGATGTTAACGTGGCACATCTGAGGGACAGGAGCCAGAAGCCTGGGAGGCACATTTGTCAAGTGGTTCCATGGCTGCTGCCCACACCTACCGCCTGCCAGGGAGGAGCTGCAGGGCCGGGGCTTCCCAGGTCTAGATGCATCTGGCTGGACACACCCCCTTCTCTGTCTCCTCCCTCTGCTCCAGAGGCTCCTCCGGTTGCCCCAGCAGAGAGGTGTCCAGCTTGTCCACCACAGAAGAGGTAAAAGGCCGACAGAGGAAGTAGGAATGGAGGTGGTATTGCTTGGAAACGGACCTGCTGTTTCTTAGGCTGTCTTGGCCTGCCTTCGGTGCAGCTAACCTTGGAGAGGAGGCGTTCACAGGAGCCAAAGCCCTGCTTGCCCTATCATATGCCTCTTGGTAAGCAGCTTGACATGTCCTGTAGATGAGCCAAAGGGTGGCACTGTGAGGGGCTTCAGAGTCCAGTGCCTGGGATAAGAAAGCACCAGAACCTCTGTCTTGCCCGGCACATGGTAGGGCTTCTCGGCAGCCAGCTAACTTCCTGCTGTGCTCTCAGAAATTGAAGGGAAAGGACATCAGTAAGCACATTGTGGCCTGAGGGGAAGAGATCAGAATTAGTCAGTTAGCTTCTGGGCACTTAGGAACCAGGATTATGAAAAACCAGGAGCGGGAGACTTGAGTACAGTTTATGGTTAAAAGAGGTATTCTACCTGCACAATAATAACACGGTTATATATAGCACCTTCTGCTTTGGGGACAAATTCATATTCATTGCTTCATTTAATACCAAAATAGCCCTTTGAATAAGCTCAGTTACTACTAAGAAAACTAAAGCTATTTAGGGGAAGAGGCAGGGTTGGAACTCAGGTCCCCAAAAGTTGGCTCTTAAGTTTGATTTGGTTTTCTTTTCTTTTGTACTGGGGATTGAATTTGGGACCTTGCACTTGCAAGGCAGGCAGCAGAACCACTGAGCTAAATCCCTGGCCCTTAAGTTTTATTTTCTAGCAAAGTAAAATTTCCATGGTTCTTAGCAAGAAGTCAAACTGTGTTTAGATCTTTTTCATCAAAGACAGCCAGGTTAGGCAGGTGATCCATTCTTGGATCAGCATGCCAGACACACTAATCACTTAGGGCAGCTGCTTTTCTCTCTGGGCCAGTTTTCTTTCCTTCTGCAGAACAGGGATTTTCCTTCTTTTTCTTCACTTGCCCAAGGCAGGGACTTAGTCACTGTGTTCTCCATACCTAGTTCACGGTGGTTCCAGACCTCAACATGTTATGCAATAAATATTTACTGACTGAAATGACTCACAAGAGTCAAAATCAAGTCAGGCACTTGCTTGCGCATGCAAGGTGTGATTTAGGGTGCATCACAGTCACCTGTGGGAGAAGATAGAGGCCGACCCTTCGCTTTGTTTTTGCAGAGCTGGTGAGTTAGGGGTTCTCAGCCAATGAGGCCTCCCGCTTCAGCTAAAGAGGAATTAGACTTGCTGTCAGGCACTCACATCTTGCACTTAGTCACATTCTAGCCTGTCTTATTCTTGCAGGGAGTCCAGTGCAAGCCTTCTCTCTGCAGCTGGAATGGTAAGCTTCCTGGTGACTGACAGGGTCTGACACATGCCCCGGAGCCCCCACCCTACCCCGGGCCTCCAGTCCCTGGGGCTTTCATGGTAGACCCTCAGTAAATGCTGTGCGGCCCTGGAAGAAACGTCAAAACCGTCCTGTAGGGTCATTTCTGCACCCTGCTCCTTCAGCCAGGTCAGCCCTAGGTTCACCTGAGGGATGCCTTTGACCAAGGTCAAGGGCTTGATGGGGTTTCCCCTGGAGGAGGATTCCAGTGTCCTCCCCAAGAGAAACGGACGCTTCCGCCTGCCAAAATGTGGTCTGCAAGGGAAGCTTGCAAATCGTGCAGTGTAGGGGTAGCATGCTGGTCCAGACCGGGGCAGAGAGCAGACCCACGAACCCTCCAGGGCACCGGGCTGCCTTGACCTGGAGAGAGAAAGGATGGTTTTCCGAACAAGGTCCTGTCTCCCCTGTACCTCGGTTTCTCCAGTGGGAGGACACGGCTCGGCGCGTGAGAGCAGAGAACCTTTTCTTGGATCTCATTGTTCCGCGAGGCGGGGAGGCT